GATACATCTTTCTTTTTAACGAGAACAATTGTAGGGGCCCAAGGTGAAGACGAGAGGTGGCGGCATATATATCGCGCACGGTCTTTGACTGCCACGGAGGCCAAATGATCGTTTGCTTAGGAGAACGAAACGTCGAAATTGTCCCACGACTTCGACAAGGGCATTGTGTCCGTGGAAAATTGCCTTGTCTCCAGGACGGATATAAGAGCTTGGAAAAGCTCCCTTACGTCCACGCTGGCTGGAATTTCGGCTGGTTTCGCGATAGCTTGGTCGTGGGGCATAGGGAAGTAACCGCTGGCACCAGTTTTGTTGCAAACAAGCCGGCAGAACACCGTTCCAAATCAGAAGATCTCGTCGAAGGAGGGAGAGTGTTTATTGGAGAACGGAAATAGCGAGAAAGAGAGAGAGAGAAATAAGGGGGATCCTGAGCACCTTTGTGCTCAGGAGGAAGAAAAGAAAAACACAAGCAGGTAGCCGGAAGATCCAACCGCACACGCTACGGGGAAACCGGTCTGAAGTCTTTGTCCAATCAAACGTCCTCTTCCGTGACCTCGCCCGGGATTGGCTCTTCGGTTTTTACAATAATTTAAGACCAAAGCAGATGTAGCGGCCGAGAACGTCAAGGATAGTACACACGAAGATAAGGAAGCGCTGAGAAGAGGTCCTGGTGGAGGTAGATCTGAACAGAACCGTTAACATCTCTCGAAACGCATCCATACACAGGAGAAGAAGGCATGTAGAGTAGGAATATAGTGTAATGTAACGAGGTTGCACGGGAAAAGCGTATAATAATCGTAAATAGTACAGGTAGGATGGATTACATCTGTAGAATAACCTATCTGGGTGGAGAGACGATACCATCATGCCGACTAACAAACCGGTGGGGAGCGCAGCGCTGTGGGCAACAGCAGGGAGGGGCCGGGGAGGTGTCGATGTAGCGAGGAGAGCGGTACGTGCGTTACGTTACGGTACGGTGGGGGGAAGGGATCGGCGGAAGAGAGAGGAAGGGATACCGGCCGTCTTCACCGACACGCGGCTACGCCATCTCCATCCTAGGTCCTCGCACCAAAAAAGTTTAACATCATTCAAACAATTCTCTCCGCGCCAAGGGGCGTTACACAGAGAAATATAACTATGATAAGGGGATGGTCATGGTGAGTTTTCCATCACAATTGCAAAAATATTTAATGTGCGTGATGATTAAGTCAAGCTGTGCCGAATACAGACAGACCTATCAAACCTAACAGACGTAAAGAGTTGGTGTCGACACTACGAAGAACAAGCTAAACCGAGTGTTCTGCAGAATCTTTTCTCGGAAAATAAAACCACTGCCAATGCTATGAGTCGTCCGGGAGTCCCCGAATTATAATTTATGAATTCATTTATCATACGTAACGCACAGTTCCCTTAAGCTAAGCAATCGCCCTACTGCGTCATTCATCCCTAATCCTAAACAAAAATGAGACCTAGACTTAACACCAAGCCATGTCCTAATTTAACGCTGGTTTTGCTCCTAACTCTAAAGATAAGCTTATCCCTAAATATTGCGCTTTAATTGTGCTGAAAACAAATATACTCGCCAAGTAGAAAATGAGGGTCTGTGGCTGACATTTAATTCACTTACAGTAGCTTACGAAATATTTATTTTTTGCTCCAGTTTCTGAGTGGCTAGTCGTATAGTGTTACGAGTTGATATTTAGAAAGCCTCTGAATTTGCGCTAAATGAGGAAAACTCCTCTTCCGCCCATCAGTGGACACCTTAACCTCACTGACCACAAACCGAAATTCGAAGTACTCTAACAAACTTGTATGGAACGATGGCTAGACCAAAGGGAAAAAAATAGTCAAACTTCAAATGATGATGAGTTTTCTAAGGCTAATCTACATACAAGTCCTACCGAATGGTCTACCATCCAAGGCTGCGTCACGAGTCTCGCTTTGACGGCAAAAACGTGGGAAAGGGTGGGGACCGGAGTTGCGGCAACCAGTTTGTTCCACGGTTAGTTCTCGGCCGTATTTATTGGGCCTTGCCAGTCGAGAAGGTCATAAGATTGAATTCCACCGTTGTAATTGGTTGGAAAACAACGTTAAAAGGAAGACCGAGCATAACTGATTCATCGATATTCCGATGGACTTATGCTTGTTGTACATTATTATGCGTAATATTTGCATAAAGATACCAAATTATGGTAAACAAGACACTGGGTTTTAACTCACCACTTTATTTAGTCACGATTGCCCATTCTTGAAAAACAGCCACCGTCATATAAATAACTACCATATAAATAAATACTTTTTACTAAAGATCCGTCAGGGTCCCATCAAAGCAAATAAAAATAAATTTTCATATGAACTTTAGACGAGGTCGGCAGAACCTGTTCAATATGCAATTCCTAGTTTCTTAATTAATTGTCCGTTGAGAAAAATGACTAGCGAGAGGGGAAAAAAACCCCCATGAAAAATTTAAAAATGAATGTATTAATATTACAGGAGAAAAAAACCTCTCGATAAAAAACAATAGCAGAAAAATGCGGGAGGACTGGCCTGTATGTGGCGGTATACAACGGATTATAATCAGACATCGTCAGGGCAGAAATAAATGTCAGTCTTGAGAAGTACGTATGCGGGTCAAACAGGACTGGCCTGCACGTGGTATTGTATACGGAATTTAGAACTGTCATCGTCTGGGCCGGATTGATACGCCGGATGAGATTATTCGCTTCCAGGAGGCCAGAAGAGAGGAACCCAGACGCGATCGGCCACAGTACGCTTCGAGCCCAGCCGAGGTGGCTTCCGCCGTGAACGTCGACAGACCGCTTGGGGTCGAAATTAGGAGATGACATCAAGAATCGAGAAAACCGTTGCTACGGGAGAGGAGTGATAGCAGTGGATTTGGTAACCAATCCAAAACAGGGTGCTGCGAAGATATAAGTGAGTGTTTCCACTTGATTTACCGCTTTATCCCAGGAAGACCCTTTTCGAAGTCAGGAAGTTGAGTGTTCGGGAATGAGGCCGTTAAAAGTGTCTTTATACTTTCCGGTGTAAGGTGTTTGCGTAATTTCGATTTGAATGCCGATACGTTAGGCGACGACCTAATTCCTGGCAGAAGATAATTCCAAAGGAAGGCATATTTGGGGGCAAAAAGAGGGACCACTTAGATGTAGTGCAAAGAGACGGTGAAATCACCGTGGAGGAGTTGCGCGCGGCATAAGACCGATTTCTCAGAGTGCGAGTGTCAATGAGAGGAAGATTGGAGCTAGAGTTAATGCGAAAAAGGAGGCAAAGGCCAGTTTCGGGTCTTCTAACCCACAAAAACTTCATGTTCGCCATCTGAAATCTCTGATTATAAGAAGTACCGGATGAGACTTGAGGGAACAGTTTTCGGATGAAAACCCTCTGAACATTTTCGATCTTATTATGGTCGCAGGCATTCATTTAACCAATGAAAGGACAGCAGTATTCGAGGCTTGGAAGAACAAGCATTTGATAAGGCCTTAGCTTTATACCCGGAAGAAAAACTTCATGCGACATACACTGACATATCCGGGCGGCTTTGTCAGAGACTATCTGCATGAGGTGATTAAGCATGTTTATTTGCATAACGTAAACTTAGATCCTTTATGGTGAAGCATTCTGATAGTGGGCTACTCTGAAGGATTATGGGACCAGGAAGTTTGGCAGGACCAAACGACATGAAACTACACTTGAATAATGAAAACTCCATCTACCATGTTGAACTCCATTTAACTAAGCGTAATAAATCGGCATTGACTTTTTCAACAAAAAATTCGCGGTGTCGAAGGCTTTGCTAAGATCAAAGTAGATAACTACCACTGACTACTGCACATAAGGAAGAAAACTGATTAGATTAAGGAATGCGAAGTAGCAAGTTTCACAGGATCGTTTAGGTAAAACCCATGTGTATTAGGTTTAAATTTCCTTTGATTATTCTAATATCGAAATCGGCTTCCGGAAGTAATTTAAAAGGTTCACAGAGCTAGGAATCATCATTGACTGAAGAGTTTGGGGAATTGTAGATACAGGCAATATTAGCCTTTCCTTGCAGCGAGAGAATAACAGATGCAAAGCAGAAGCCTTCCGTAAATGAGCAGGCGTCCAATTAATAAGGAGAGTGCTTTATGTAGGACCTAAGATGAAGAGGACAACCGCCCCCACGCCTTGTCGTGCGGTCTTGACGGTAAAAATCGAGGTCATTTGTAAGAAGGGCAGAGTCAGGAATTAGAGAATGTGTCCAAGGTGCTGTTATACATGTAATATCAGACGTCATTTTGAGAGAAATTGCTCTGATTTGGGCCCTCTTGTTTATAACAGACCTGGTATTCAATAATATAATATCCAACGTGTTTCGGACAGCAAGGCTATTGTCGACGGTATTTAGAAAAATATTTAGAGCCGTATATGTAAGCTGTGAATTAATGATGCTTGGAGAATAAGTACCCGTAAGTCTAGAGTTATTAACGTAGGCGGAGTCAGAGAACGAAGGCTGGACAGGAGATCTAAAGGATGTGGGAATATAGTTTCCGAGCATTGGAATGCTAGGGGAGTTAGAACAGGGATAGGCTTCCTGGTAGTTAAATTGTGAATGAGGAGGAGGGAGCCTAGAAAGAAGGTAGAGGCTAGTGGGGAGGTGTTATGACCCGCCTGGTACTTGAAATCCCGTGGAGCGTATGCGCACTCGACCCAGGTCCCCGATATCAAGGCAGCAGACAAAGAACACACGGCTGGCCACAGAACGTGTATTAGCAAACACGTTTCAGCAAGTCCCGTCTAGCTAAGGGTGACGCATATTTATCACACGCTAGCGTGGTTCGCCGGCACTCGGTCCAATGACCTTCGGGAAGAGGGGAGTAGCCAATGGGAAAGCGCCTTATTGGGATGACAGCGCGGCAGAGAGAGAGCAAACGCACGTGATCTCCATTGACTGGTTTGCTCTTGTTTTTGGGAGTTTAGGCACTCCCAACACCTCCCCTCCAAGTGGGTCAGTACCGCTTTTGGCGTGGATTGATCTGCATCGGCAGTGTTGATCGGCGCACGCGGTTGGTCCGGCGTCTTAGTTGTGGTTTGTTGTCTGGAGACCCGGGGGCAGTGACTGATACCGAAGGCGGTAAATCCGAAGGAAGCGCAGCAGTGGGTTCGGGAACCGACGTATCTGCCGGAATGGCGAAGGTATCCAGTAGGATGTCAAGGGGGAGTGACGGCGCCGGATCGAGCCCAGTTGTGTTACTGCAATGTCGCCGTCGGATCTGGTTGTGGTGACGAACCCAGATTTCACCACCAACGTCGACGTCAAACAACATACTGCCTCTGTGCGCTACCACGGTTGCTTCAATCCAGTCTGGGAACTCCGTTCGATAATCACGGGCGAAGACAGGCGTTCCGATGGAGAGCTTGCTGCGAGAGACTGGAGAAGTCTGCGCGGGCTGCGCACCGGTAGGGACGAGGGCATGAAAAGTTGTACGCAGTTTTCGGCCCATCAACGCTTCGGCAGGAGAAACGCCACCAGGGGACGCCGGGTTCGGTGTTGTCCTGTAGGAAAACAGGAATGCCTGGACTATCTCGTCCGTGGTCCCCTCCCCATGAGCTTTCAAGAGGGCTCTCTTAAACGTGTCGACAAAACGCTCCGCCTGACCGTTAGACTGAGGATGGTAGGGCGGGGAGCGAAGATGCTGGATGTTGTGCTGGCGGCAGAAATCCTCAAACGACGACGAAGTAAACTGAGAGCCATTATCTGAAACCAGGACTTCTGGTAAGCCATGTTGGCTAAAGATGCGTCGTAGGAAGGCGATAGTGGAAGATGCGGTTGCTGGATTCAGCGGAGCAATCTCGGGCCATTTCGAGTAGGCGTCAACCAAGATTAGGTAGGAGACTCCGTTAAGTGGACCAGCGAAGTCGCTATGCACGCGTGACCAAGGCCTCTCCGGTGGTTGCCAGGGTATTGGAGGTTGACGAGGCGGCATTTTGGCAGCTTGCTGACATCGAGAACAGCGTCGAACCAGGTCGTCGATGTCGCCGTCGATACCCGGCCAGTAGGCAAAACTGCGAGCAATAGACTTCATTCGGCTGGTACCAGGATGAGCCGCATGGAACTGGCGTAGTACAGTGGGTCGGAGGGAAGATGGGATCACCACACGGTCTGCAAACATGAGGCAGGAGTCAACCACAGATAGCGATGCTCGGCGGAGGAAGAGCTGGCGAAGATC